GCGCTTGCTGACAAAGCACACCGTCTCCCAGGCAAGCTACTTCACCGGTTGCCACAAATTCTCTGCTCAAGCCTCCCGCTGAAGGCTCGAACTGGCTTGCTGCCAACCTCCCCACAAAGTACCAGGACCGTGAAGTCAGGGCATGCATCAATTTGTTGACCTTGAATGACCGCAAGAAAGATGACCTCAACGATTGGATCAAGCAGGTCGAGGGATGGGTTGACAGCCAAGGTGACGGTTATATGAGGAGTGCCGCCAGGCAACGTCACAACAAAAATACAGAAGTCCCCCATCGCGCGCATTCTTGCAGTGGGTACATGGAGCGGTGGCGGTGACTCCTAAAGGCGCTGCATTACCGACAGCGACGCTGCCGTCTGCGCTGAAATTTTGCATCATGATTATCAGATCATCATGCCTTTTGCGTTGCCCAATGGTGGGTGGTGCACCTGGCGCTTCATGAGGCACGCAGAGTGCTTCCTGACACTCATGTGCTGAATTGAAAGGCGTGTTTTGTGCCTTCGTGCACTTGGTATCCAGCCAGGGCACCTGCCTTTTTCGCAGTTTTTCAGTGAATCAGTGTTGTATTTGCGGGGCAGCACTGAAAAGTGCACCATGGCCCGTGAACACACCAGGTTTAGGAAATACAAGCAGGTGGTGGAAAAGAAGCTTGTATCTGCGGAACTAGCCCTCAAATACTGGGCAGAGAAGCGCGCTTTCTGGCCCTGGCACGCGGTGTCCATATCTGAACAAGTGACCCCGGAGTTGCTCAGGGTATGGGAGCAGGCCCTCATACAGACCCTACAACCTCCCCTGAACTTTCCTTTCATTGCTCGATGGTCTTGCCCGAAGCGAGACATCCTGAAGCCTCCTGAAGCCGCGTTTGCAAATCACATCGGCTTATGTATAGGCTCTTGCCGAAACGCAGGCGCAGGGACTCTGAAGGTGGCATTCCTAGCAGCCTAGGCTCGCCCATGGGCTCACCGTTGTCACCGGCCCTGTGTGGCATGGTCGTGGCAGCGCTGGCGGCAATTTGGCATCGGCATGAACCGCAGCCTTCTCTGTCTTCGCTACGTCGAAAATCGCCTATGGATCTCGGAACCAGCCATCGCCGCCCGACTCCAGCTTTTTCTTAACAATCGCTTCTATTGCGGTGACATCACTTTGTCGTTTTCACGCTGGATTTGCAGAACCGGCGCATTTTGTACAACCGAGTGTGTCAAGCACGGCACCTACCCATGAGAACGTACTTCTCAGTGGCATTCTTGCCAGAGCACACACTATCACTATCAAGCAATGTTCTTTTCCAGAGGCGCAAATGCTCACTGGATTTGAGGTATCTGTAGGAGCTCGCAAATGAACAGCGACTCCCTATCAACACCTCTGCTTTATAGTCCAAGTTTTGGCGCCACACTCGACGGCGCCAATAGTTGCAAAATCTGACTGTTGCGCACTTGCAGTGTCCTTGGCTTGTCTCGCACGTGAGCATTTGCTTTACTTCTGGATAGACTGAGGCAGACTTCACCCCAAGATGTCATGGAAAGGGTGGGCAGCTTTCTCACCCGCCTTGAACTTCACTTGGGTGTCACCGATTGGACACCCTCAGGCCTAGCAATGCTGGGGCCGGCAGTTAGCTGGGAACAATTCGATCGGGATACCGCGGCGCAGATTACCGCCGACAAGCTCAGGGTTTGGTGTCACGCGCCGGGCTTCCAGCCCCAGATTCGTGTGACCCATGCCAAGTACTCATGGACTGTTGCGCGCTATTGCTACCATCGTGACTGTGCGGTCACGGCCAGGCTGGGCAGCATAGCCACAACACGGGTCAAGCCGATGTTGGCCCTTGCAAAACGCGACATCAGCATCAATGCCAGGGACGTCGCAAAGCTCCGTGGTCGCGTGGATAAGAAGGTCAATTGGCACAAGTCCGCCGGTCTCGAGCGCATCTACATGGACATCGGACGTCTTCAGCACATGAGAGCTTCGGATAAATCAGTTACACTGCCGGCAAAAGAAGCCGCCAGCACATCTGTCAAGACTGTCAATCTGTTTTTCCTTTCTGTGATTGGCTAGTGGCTAGTTCTCACTGCAGGTGCACTGGCTCCAGCGTAGCATTTGTGAGTGTGCTGTTCATTAAACTGAACAGATGCAAGCTTTGCCTCACGATGTCATGGAAAAGGTGGGCGGCTACCTCACCCGCCTCCAGCTTCACTTGGGTGTGACTGATTGGACAACATCGGCCATCCGACTTCGGCCCTCGGATTGGGATATTGCCACGCAACATACCGAACAAGCTCTTGAAGAAGGGAGCAAGAGGATAGGCTTTGCTCCACAACTCCGGACCGTCGAAGCTAGGTACTCATGGACGGTGATGTTGCATTGACACCATCATGACCTTGCAACTACTGCTCGTTTGGGCAGCATCGCTAAGATTTGTCAAACCGACGTTAGCCCTTGCACAGTGCAACATCAGCACATTAACACCTTTGATGCCGCAAAATTAAGCGGCCGAGTCAACAAGACTTTTGACTGGCACAAATTACCTTCGATCAAAACGATCTACATGGACATTGAACTCCTTGAATTTATGAAGGCTCGTCGCGTCAAAGCACCTATCCATCTTGAGTGAAGCTTTTAACTCAGTGACACGCTGGGTAAAGTGTGCAACCACAGCTGTCACTGCATCTCCATGTCACTCTTGCGCTGCTTTCATCTGCAGCTGTTTCCTTGCTTTCTCCGTCTTTTACAAAATGGCAGAGAGAGACCGCAGCCGTACACCCCCGACTCAGCCAGCATGTTGGTGCTGGACATGGTGCTCCGCGCAAAACTCCGATGGCAGCATCACATGATGGTGGCAGTGGTTCGAGGTGACACGCTCATGGATCAGAACCAACGCTCGTGAAAATAGACCTCGCACTGCAGACAGTGAGAGCAGCCCGACTTCACCTTTGAAGCGCAAGCGTAGTCGCTCCTTGTAGCAGGAAGCCGGCCAAATTAACGTTGCTGCTGGGCCTTGACCTACAGCCTGCAGGATCTAAGAGTGCCATTCGATGAGCATTTCTGGTCAACTGATTGCACATACTGTCTTGTGGAAACGCACCGCCGTCTTGCTGCAGCCTTGTTTGCAGGGCATGTGTGTGTGTGTGTACACGCCTGGACATGGCGACCTTTGAGTGAGAGCACCATCTTGCTGCAGGGGGGCAGTGCATGCCTGGCAGTCACTGCCCAACGAAGACACTGTGAGTGCGTGGTGATATCTGGCCTGATCAGCCAAACGTACCGTCTTTCCGGCTAATGAGTGGGCCCCCGGCACTGGGATAACCAACCCTAGCGTGAAGTTTCTGTGTCATTATGTATGGTTGCTCCAATCTGTCGTCGTTTGGTCCTGTCAGTAGCTCGTCGCAGTCATCCTTGCTGTGCCAAAGTAAGTGTGTGTGTCTGTGTGTGTGTGTGTTTGAGAGAGAGAGAGAGAGAGAAAGAGAGAGAGAGCTTCCCTAGCACATGGGAACAAAGGGTCACTCCTTTTGCAGTAGAAAGAACAACACGACTATTGCACATTCTGCCGGGGGTGGGAACATGGATTGCTGGACTCCCGCTAACAAAAACGCCAGCTTTCCATGTGATGTGTTCCGGGACGCTGGAACATGTACCTGCAAATCAACAAGGCAGCCCCCTGAGGGCCCCCTGTGGTGTCCAGATCAGTTTTCACAACAACCTTTTGCATGTGCATGACAGTTCACAACAAACTCCCACCACCCACCTGCCTTTGCTTGTCCTGACCCTGACCTCTTCTCTCGGAGATTCCAGAGCAACGGCTTTCCGTCATGGCGCCGTGGTGGCCCTGCGAGGTAGTTGGCCAGGAGCCAGATAAAACACTGATCCTCGGGCTGTCGGGTGGTACTCCCGGGCACCTAGTCTATCCCGGCGATGATGGCTAACACGCTGTCGGCGTGAGTCTTTGACACGAGGGCATGTGCAGTAACGATGCGCCTACATGCAAGTGCAGGAGAGCAGGACTACCTCCACTATTCTGTCCCGTACTGCGATCTTCTTTCCTCAGTGCTTGCAAGGGCATGTGCATCTGACAAGAGGGCATGAGCAAGGGCAGGTGCAGCAAATCAGCGTTTTATGCATCTCCCCTACGGGGGAAAGTCGGTATCCTCCATTTCGTTTTTTCTTGCCACCGACCCAAGACGAGCACCAACGATCACACTGGCCAGCCTCCACGCAGCAAGCGACGGTGTCACAACAACCACTCCCCCTGGGCAATATGGGAGATTTCTACAACACAGCGCAGCATTCGCCACAACAATTCCTGCAACAACCAATGCAGCAACTGATGCAACACTACCGCAACAAATGCTGCAGCAACCGCCGCAACAAATGTTGCAGCAACCAGCACAACAGCAAAACTTGGAAAGGCGTTCGCTTGCGTCCGTCGAGCATCGTTGCAGCATCGTTGCCGCAACCAACGTTGCAACACCCGATGCAGCAAACCATGCAACAACCAGAACAACAATTATTGCAGCATTCGGTGCATCATACAATGCAGCAATCACTGCAACACATGTTGCAACAACCACTGCAACAACCAATGCAGCAAACATTGTAGCAAGCAATGCCACCACCCATGCACCTGCCGTTGCAACAACACGCAGAAGCACTGTTACACACAGCCTCCTGCGATCAACAACATGCTGTCATGGTCTGCCCCATTTGGGCTCTGTGTGTGTGTGAACTTCCCTAGCACATGGGAGCAGAGGGTCACTCCTTTTGCAGTAGAATGAACATCACGACTATTGCACATTCTGCAGGGGGCGGGAACATGGATTGCTGGACTCCCTGTGGTGTCCAGATCAGTTTTCACAACAACCTTTTGCATGTGCATGACAGTTTACAACAATCCCCAACCCACTCACCCGTTTTTGCTTGTCCTGACCTCTTCTTTTTGCCGAAATCCATCAGTGTGCGTGCTCGCTTCGGGTCGCGGATTTTTACTTCAGGCGCCTGGTAGAGATGGAGGAGGAGATTCGCGAGCTGACTGGCGAAGGAGGCAAACGCAGCCACGCAGCAATGCACAGCTCACCGAAGACGAAATATCAAACCGCGCCTTTCTGTTCCCAGCTTTTCCAGCTTCAGGAGCTGCTGAGACTTCTGAGCCCGCTCAAGCCAAGGCCCAAGAGCCTGCAGCTGATAACGGTGATGTCGATTTCAAGTCCGTCACGCTGTAAACGTATACGCGATCGTACATGTGAAGGCCAGCCAGAGCCGGTCTGTTGCTGAGCGCTTTGATTGCCTGGCAGTAAAGTCTCGAGGGCAAAAATGTCGGATGCTCTGGAACAGAACTGCCGGATCTGAGGCCTTCTGCCAGAGTGTCCCATGAACCTCCCAGCGTGACAGAGTCAACTTTGAGTCGCATCCCTTGGGGCAGACTCTTTGCTGAAAACGTTGCGACCCTGACTTCTTTCCACAAGGTCCATCGTCCACTCTTCGATCTTCTCGGGATCGAATGTCCTTGAGCTGATGTTTAAGCATCATTCACAACGCATCCGCATACATCAGCCATTGGAGCGTCTTGCCAAAGTGGAAGTTCCTAAGGCCAACCCCATGGGCTCAGGCAGGATGCACGATGGCGTTCGCCAACGAGAGGTTGGATCATGGGCAAGTGTCGGCAAGTGCAGGCGTCCACCGTGGCAGAGGCCATCCACTTGCAGCAGCTCCGAGCGCAGACTGACAGGGCTTCTGACAGGTATCTGTGCAGTTCTCGGATTCTGTCTCGGCCGTCACCTCGTTGGAAGTCCCGGAGAACGTCCCAGAGGCTGCGAGATACATTGTTCATCAACCAGCCCAGCAGAATATGGACAGGTTGGCAACAGGTCCGTGCGCGACCGAATCCTAACCCCGTTCGTAGCGGCCAACGTGACAGCCTCCGAGGCAGAATCTTTTGTTGTGGCAATGGGCTGTCGGGACGACTCGAGTTTGCAGGATCGCAGAGCACTGCTGGCACCTGGCCTGTCAACAGTCGAGGAACGGCAGATGTGAATTCAGTGGCAAATTGATATCTGCCTTCAGTCTGCCAAGTGTATCCAAGTGTTTTTCAGGAGTTTGAAGCACAGAGCTCCCGAGAGAGGCTTCGCTCAAGCCGAGACAGGACTGCACAACGGAAGAATACCGAAGTTTGGCAAGTCCCGGGGTCACACGCAATTCTTCCGCACCAATCTGCAGGATGCCTACACCCCATGTAAGCTCAGAGATGATCGAGGACTCGGCGCGTCTAGCTTCGTACTGCAATGCGGTGCCCATGGGCTGTTCATATCGATACATCTTGCTGAGAGGAAACTGAGACCTACGCGTCTTCTGGAAAAACAGTCCGAATCTTCCCTGCAGCCGACATGGAGGCACCTCATACATTTTCGAGACTGCTTCCCGTGGTTGTAAGGTTCAAATTTGTGGGCTGTGCCAGGCCATTCCAGCCTCTGGCAGAAGACGGCCCAGCCGAGAGAGACAAGCCACCCCGTTCGTCAAGGATTGGTGACACTGGGGTCTGGTATTGTTACCAATCCTCGTTATCACAAGCCCCCCCGGCATCTTAGCCAGGCTGAGTGATTGCGTGTGCTCCTCGATGCTCCACCATACTCGCGAATACTGTAGTGCTTGAGCAGCTGAATTGAGCTTGCACTTGCAGTTGTTTCCGAAGCTACAGCGGCACAGCACCCCCGTAGTTGTGTAGCTGAGTTGCGGTCCAGGGGTTCACCTCTCAAGCTTGTTGTCCCGTTCCCGCATGGAGAGCATCGTCTGCTATTTGCAACTGCTCATTATTCGCCCACTTTTACCATATAGTCGCGAACGTTGTGAGGCTTGATGTTTAACTGTTTGATAATGTGACTGTAGCCGGGTGTCAGGA